AGATAGATAGATAGATAGATAGATAGATAGATAGATAGATAGATAGATAGATAGATAGATAGATAGATAGATAGATAGATCTCAGTTGTACAAAATGTGATATTTTGGCTTTAATTATTTTGCTATTGTGACTTTTATAACTCACTATGTGAAAAATCTTTCAACAAAACGAAAACACGCTATGCTATACTGTACTGCACTACGACTGTAATATATTATAGTATTGGTGCCCCCCCCCCAGTGGGATTTTACTGAAAAATTGAAACATATTCAGAGAGGATCATCCAATATAGCCTACACTTGCTCATTTAGATGTAATAAATAAATAGATAGTAGAAAATGTCAAATGCATTTGATATTCATTTTATGAAAGTATTTTTTTCAGTTACTACTACAATCTATCGATTGGAAAATATGTCAATAAAGTGAAATGCAATATAAAATATTCTATGTAAATGTGTTTTGACAATTAGTTGAGTAATTTAAGCAATCATTAAATAATGACAGACAAATCAAATCAAAAGCAATGGACTCCAGATTGAATGTTTTTACAATTGGCCTATAGGCAAGAATGATTAAATGTATAACTCATGAGTGAATTATTATAGTGGATTATATTAATTTAAATAAATATATATTAGACATTATGCATATTAGATTAGGCTATATTCAGTCTGAACAGTTGTACATAACACATTTCAAAATTGTATTGTACATCTGTAAGTGACATCTTGAACTGCACACCTGTAAAAAACATTTCTGTACATGAATAAATTACACATATTTTAAGCTCTTTCCGATTCTAAATTACCATAGTGGGTGGAATATTTTGATTAGGATGGATAGATAGTTATCCAACAGCAAAAATAAGTATCTTGGCATTGATTTGTTTCTAAACGTGAAAAACTTGGCTCATTTTTCTTGTGACTGCTGTTTTTCCAGTGATGACATTGTTGTACCAGACCTTGCAAATCCTTTTGGCTCCAGCGAAGACAACCGCAGGTGAATTTTTTGACTACTACTCCCTATCTTCAAACCCGCCTGATCAAATAAGGTAGTACAGTTGCCCCAAGGTTCAATGTCTGTTGTCACATCAGATATAATGCTGAGATTTCCACAGCTGACACACTGAACAAGCAATAGCTAAAAAAAAAAAAAAAAAGGTGCCAAAACAAAATCATAGTTGTGCATTCAGACTTATTTAAAAAGAAATAACTCCTAAAGAAAGACATTATGTAGTTGTGCACGTTTAACAATGCTTCCAGTATTCATCTTCAAAGTGTAAATTTTAAAATGTTCCAATTCAGGAAAGTACTGCATGAATTCAGATCCTTGCTCTTTTTTTTCTCTATAAATACTGTAGCGGAACTAAAGTGGCCTGTGATCTTTGATCCTTTATGACAGGCTCTTGCAAAGCTACATCAAGAGCAGCATGAAGGAAGGACAGACCAGTCCAGAGCTGAACACAAGGGAACAAGGTTAATATAGTTCATTATTAACAGTCTTTGTTAACCGCTTTTATTTCCACTAGTGCTGTGTGCTTTTCCATTTTACACCATTGCAGAAGTTTTTTTTTTTTCATTTTAAGAGAATTCCACTGCCTAAATTAAGTTAGTCCTATAAAATTCATATATTACACATTTGTTAAATATAATAAACATTCAACTTCTGTATATGAATAAAATATGAGAGTTTATAATTGCCATAATTATATTGTTTGTAATATATGTCATTTAATACGGTGTATAGATATATCTTTATAATTAAACTTGTTTGCACTGACATTTCTACATGGTAGATACAAAAGTAAGACCAGATGTTCTCAGTTGTGCAGTTTACCTTGGGTGCTCTCAGGTTTTCATACGCTTGTCTGATTTGTTCTCGTCACAGAGGTATTTTTCCTTTTCTCTCTGTACGACTATGACAGAAGTGGGCAGATGGATGGCCTTGAACTGATGCAACTACTGACAGATTTTCTGACTTGCCAAGAAATGTCACCAAAGTCTTCAGATTCTGTGAGTGCTGCTCAGCTTTGTCACATTCAAAGTAAAAATAAATAAAATAAAAAAGCTCTTGCATTGTTGACTTGAAGTTGTTTACACTTTAGGTTGTATCTTTAGTGGATTATCTGCTACAAACTCAAGATCTGAACCAGGATGGACTACTGGCTCCTTCAGAGCTGTTATCCACGCTAGACCATCAGCAAGAAAACAAAATTGTTCCCCCGGATCCACCTGCTGAGGAAGCCTTAAATCAGGAACAAACACCTACAAAATCAGAGAACAGAGTTTCTGAAACTCACCAACAAGATGTAGAGGTCAACCAACAGTCTGAACATGAAAATGGGACACAAGACTCCACTAAAGAAAACATGGAGGCTGAGAAATCACAACCAGATACCTGAAAAGCTTGAAGAACATCAGGACCAACTGCAGCCTCCTGTAGAGCAGAAGCTGCAAGATGATCATCAGGAACCGAAGAAAATACCAGTCCATCAAGAGTAACCAGAGATATACCAAATTAAGCATGACGTGCAACTTTAGAGACTTGTACAAATCAGCCATACATTGGAAAACACTTACCTGCTGCATAAACTGTACGACTGATGCATAATTTAATTCTGGATATACTAAAAGTTATGAGTACAAGAGTATGTGTTAATGATATTAGAATTGTGGTACACAAGTTATTGTAAACCTTCTGAACTGAATTATGAAACCCAAACACAATCATCTGAATTAGTAATGCCCTGTTCAAACTATGCAAACCCAGAGAGTACGGCTTAGATTTACGGAGTTTAATGCAGAAATCCAGTCACAGCCAGGGTTTAGCAACCATTTTTAAGGTTTCATACCAAACTTGGCATATTCCTGCACAGTTCCTTTTTTTTTTTAGGTTTAACGCCTCTGAAATAAACAGCTCAATTAGAAGTGGAGAGTGTATTTTGAGCATCAAGAACGTTGCTGAAAGCCTTTAAATTGAGTACGGCTTAGATTTACGGAGTTTAATGCAGAAATCCAGTCACAGCCAGGGTTTAGCAACCATTTTTAAGGTTTCATACCAAACTTGGCATATTCCTGCACCGTTCCTTTTTTTTTTTTAGGTTTAACGCCTCTGAAATAAACAGCTCAATTAGAAGTGGAGAGTGTATTTTGAGCATCAAGAACGTTGCTGAAAGCCTTTAAATTGATGAACATGCAACAGAATTTGGATGGATCAGGATGTAGAGGGCTGAAATTGTATTGCCATAAGTGAACTATGCAGTTTTGCTGAACACAGTGAAGCTGTATTGCACTTCCAAGGAGACAAAAGATCAGTCACGCTACATTTCCAGTACAGCTTTCTCATAGCCATAGAGCCTTAGCTTTCTAGATAAAGTGCGAAACCCCATTTTTGCCTTTAAGTCTGATATTCCTTTTCATTCTCTACCTAGTTACTTTGAAAACTTGATGTTGCAAGTGATAAAAATATATCTTTATAATTAAACTTGTTTGCACTGACATTTCTACATGGTAGATACAAAAGTAAGACCAGATGTTCTCAGTTGTGCAGTTTACCTTGGGTGCTCTCAGGTTTTCATACGCTTGTCTGATTTGTTCTCGTCACAGAGGTATTTTTCCTTTTCTCTCTGTACGACTATGACAGAAGTGGGCAGATGGATGGCCTTGAACTGATGCAACTACTGACAGATTTTCTGACTTGCCAAGAAATGTCACCAAAGTCTTCAGATTCTGTGAGTGCTGCTCAGCTTTGTCACATTCAAAGTAAAAATAAATAAAATAAAAAAGCTCTTGCATTGTTGACTTGAAGTTGTTTACACTTTAGGTTGTATCTTTAGTGGATTATCTGCTACAAACTCAAGATCTGAACCAGGATGGACTACTGGCTCCTTCAGAGCTGTTATCCACGCTAGACCATCAGCAAGAAAACAAAATTGTTCCCCCGGATCCACCTGCTGAGGAAGCCTTAAATCAGGAACAAACACCTACAAAATCAGAGAACAGAGTTTCTGAAACTCACCAACAAGATGTAGAGGTCAACCAACAGTCTGAACATGAAAATGGGACACAAGACTCCACTAAAGAAAACATGGAGGCTGAGAAATCACAACCAGATACCTGAAAAGCTTGAAGAACATCAGGACCAACTGCAGCCTCCTGTAGAGCAGAAGCTGCAAGATGATCATCAGGAACCGAAGAAAATACCAGTCCATCAAGAGTAACCAGAGATATACCAAATTAAGCATGACGTGCAACTTTAGAGACTTGTACAAATCAGCCATACATTGGAAAACACTTACCTGCTGCATAAACTGTACGACTGATGCATAATTTAATTCTGGATATACTAAAAGTTATGAGTACGTGTTAATGATATTAGAATTGTGGTACACAAGTTATTGTAAACCTTCTGAACTGAATTATGAAACCCAAACACAATCATCTGAATTAGTAATGCCCTGTTCAAACTATGCAAACCCAGAGAGTACGGCTTAGATTTACGGAGTTTAATGCAGAAATCCAGTCACAGCCAGGGTTTAGCAACCATTTTTAAGGTTTCATACCAAACTTGGCATATTCCTGCACCGTTCCTTTTTTTTTTTTAGGTTTAACGCCTCTGAAATAAACAGCTCAATTAGAAGTGGAGAGTGTATTTTGAGCATCAAGAACGTTGCTGAAAGCCTTTAAATTGATGAACATGCAACAGAATTTGGATGGATCAGGATGTAGAGGGCTGAAATTGTATTGCCATAAGTGAACTATGCAGTTTTGCTGAACACAGTGAAGCTGTATTGCACTTCCAAGGAGACAAAAGATCAGTCACGCTACATTTCCAGTACAGCTTTCTCATAGCCATAGAGCCTTAGCTTTCTAGATAAAGTGCGAAACCCCATTTTTGCCTTTAAGTCTGATATTCCTTTTCATTCTCTACCTAGTTACTTTGAAAACTTGATGTTGCAAGTGATAAAAAAAAAAAAAACTAAAAAAAAAGTCATGACAGTACATACTTTGGTTTTAATATTTATTACATTTTAGACAGTGCATTAAAAATTAAACCAAAATCAAGTAAAAACCATTCAACCTAAATAAGCGAATATAAAAAACAAAAACATATTGGGTAAAGTTGACTGAGGCATCAAGTTGTGCTGAAATTTTATAGACTGGTCTAAAACTGACACCAATGACCTAGACTAGTTAACATTTTGCGATGCATTAAAAAAAAAAAAAAAAAAAAAAAAAAAAAAAAACACACGTTCTAAAACGTACATGATCGAGGATCCCAGTCTAAAAAGACTCATATAAAACTCACTGATTAACAATGTAACATGGCAATAAAGGATGGCAGTAAGCTTAAGTTGGAGACATTCAATGTCTGCGTTTTGAACGGGGTGCTCATTTCAGCTCTCCGCTTGCAGTTTTTTTTTGGATGGTTACTGTGGAATTCCAGCCACAATATCAGATTCAATGCCACAGTGGTCCTCACCTCGGAGAATCTTGAAATATCCTGAAGTTGCAAAAAAAAAAAAAAAAAAATAATAATAATAATAATAATAATAAGAGGCTAACTTGCACATTCTGTAAATCGATAAATCTGGAAATATGTTGGTACAAAACACATGAACACTTCCTTGGCAGTTTACTGGGTTGGGTAACAAACTGCAGACAATAAAAGCAGCATTTTAGTCTTCATACAAAAGAAAATTACCCTCACCATTATCACCCCAGTCAGTGTTCCAGGAGTTAGCAGCAAGCCAGTAGGGGACACTATTCTCCGAAATATGTTGGTACAAAACACATGAACACTTCCTTGGCAGTTTACTGGGTTGGTAACAAACTGCAGACAATAAAAGCAGCATTTTAGTCTTCATACAAAAGAAAATTACCCTCACCATTATCACCCCAGTCAGTGTTCCAGGAGTTAGCAGCAAGCCAGTAGGGGACACTATTCTCTTCTCCCCAGCCCAGGATCTTAATGGCATGACCACCTACTGCAGGTCCACTCACATGCTGATATACACCTACAAAAATTAGTAAAGAACCACCAAATTATCAACAGTTACATGTTATATTAGTACTCTTGCCATGTACATAAAAAGACAGAAACCAACCAGATTTATATTGCAGGAAGTCCTCATAGACAGTGAAAGCTCCCTCTACTGGACCGTTCTTGTAGAGCTCTTTCATAATGTCCTTCTGATTAGATGGGACACTATAGGATGTCTTTCCTGTAGTGACAAACAAGGCCCACAAATAAAGTTCAATGAATTCATCTTTTGGCAGCATTCAGAAAAAAAATAATAATAAATATACATTTTAAACCAGCAATTCTCAACCCGGGGGCTGGAATGAGGGAACCACGAGGAACTTCAAAATAAGGAACAGCATAATAAAAACAAAGGGCTGGGGGCCTTTAAATATTTCTGTGGCCTTGGAGTCAAATATGTTTAGAAACACTGACCTAAAGTGATGTCTGACTAGATGCAGATGAATAAGTAATGTGGGTGAAACCTGTACTGAACTATTTGGGTTCTGTAAAGTCTTACCAAAGTGTTTGTCCTGCTTGTAAGAGGGGCTGTAGCCAGGTTCACAGGACATATCACAGTTAGGAGTATCTCCACCCTCTCCGGTACAAGGAGGGCGACTGCCATTCACATGATGCTCACAGGGTTCAATGGTGTATGGACGACAGCCTAAAAATAAGACATTAAGCTAAAAGGTTTCCAAATGCAATAAACAACAAGAACAATAATAAAATCACTAACCAATATGAGAGTTATACAGGCCACCGGTGACCAGACCATCTGAGCTCCAGAAATCCCAAGCAGCAGAAGGGTATCCACCATTACATCTGAGATTAAAAACAGAATTAACAGTGCCAAAAAATAAATAAATAAAAGTCAAAGCAGCTTTAAAACACAAAGTCTGGTAGTGTGATCCTCAGTCATTTGATGCATGTCAAGTAACCAATAAAAATTAAAAAAAAGCATTTAAAGCCAGCATACTTGTTTAGCATTATCCTGATGCTCGTTTAACGCATCAGCATACACAAGGTCCTCCTGTAGCTGTAATGACATTACTGCATTGTCTTAACTCACCCCATACCACAGCTGTCACAGCAGGTAAGCAGGTCCTGAGCGGAGATCTCCACACTCACTTTGGCATTGCTGTGGATGCATACTCTGTCAGATATGGCTTCAGCAGCCCCAAAAGCCTACGAAAAGATTGAAGAATCCCAGTAAAAATATGACGTGTACAAATAACAGATCCAAGGTCATATTGCATCCACTAGAGACAAGACCTCACCCAGCATGAGCCGCAAGAACCCTGGTCTCTGATCTCTTTAAGAGTGGGGCAGTTGGGCCACTGCTCTCTGGCATCAAAGTTAGTGGGGAGCTTGAAGTCATCAGCATACTGTACCCTGGTTAAAGACGAAGCAAAATCTGTTATACCAGAATGCAGAACTGAAAGCAGTAAGCATGAGGAAACAGAACTGCATCATATGACAAAGGAGTCACAATGATTGCAATGTTAACTAGTTGCACTTCTTTTTAATCTTCTCCACTCACACAAAAATCAACTGAACTCACATGACAGGGAGTCTGGGTCCTTTCAGCAAAGTCCCACACAGCCTCTTCACATAGCTGTAGTCCATGTCATTTGTGGGGTTCTGTAAATAAACCGTTTTATTTAAAAAAAAATTTTTTTTTTAATTAGGGCTGGGGGCCTTTAAATATTCTTGTGGACAATGGAGAGGCTGGGAGTCAAATTTAGAACCACTGATCTAAAGTGACGTCTGACTAGATGCAAATAAGTAATGAGGGTGAAGTGTGCACTGAACATGAACTATTTGGGTCTGCAAACGCTTACCAAACTGTTTGTCCTGCTTGTAAGAGGGGCTGTAGCCAGGTTCACAGGACATATCACAGTTAGGAGTATCTCCACCCTCTCCGGTACAAGGAGGGCGACTGCCATTCACATGATGCTCACAGGGTTCAATGGTGTATGGACGACAGCCTAAAAATAAGACATTAAGCTAAAAGGTTTCCAAATGCAATAAACAACAAGAACAATAATAAAATCACTAACCAATATGAGAGTTATACAGGCCACCGGTGACCAGACCATCTGAGCTCCAGAAATCCCAAGCAGCAGAAGGGTATCCACCATTACATCTGAGATTAAAAACAGAATTAACAGTGCCAAAAAATAAATAAATAAAAGTCAAAGCAGCTTTAAAACACAAAGTCTGGTAGTGTGATCCCCAGTCATTTGATGCATGTCAAGTAACCAAAAAAAAAAAAAAAAAAAGCATTTAAAGCCAGCATACTTGTTTAGCATTATCCTGATGCTCGTTTAACGCATCAGCATACACAAGGTCCTCCTGTAGCTGTAATGACATTACTGCATTGTCTTAACTCACCCCATACCACAGCTGTCACAGCAGGTAAGCAGGTCCTGAGCGGAGATCTCCACACTCACTTTGGCATTGCTGTGGATGCATACTCTGTCAGATATGGCTTCAGCAGCCCCAAAAGCCTACGAAAAGATTGAAGAATCCCAGTAAAAATATGACGTGTACAAATAACAGATCCAAGGTCATATTGCATCCACTAGAGACAAGACCTCACCCAGCATGAGCCGCAAGAACCCTGGTCTCTGATCTCTTTAAGAGTGGGGCAGTTGGGCCACTGCTCTCTGGCATCAAAGTTAGTGGGGAGCTTGAAGTCATCAGCATACTGTACCCTGGTTAAAGACGAAGCAAAATCTGTTATACCAGAATGCAGAACTGAAAGCAGTAAGCATGAGGAAACAGAACTGCATCATATGACAAAGGAGTCACAATGATTGCAATGTTAACTAGTTGCACTTCTTTTTAATCTTCTCCACTCACACAAAAATCAACTGAACTCACATGACAGGGAGTCTGGGTCCTTTCAGCAAAGTCCCACACAGCCTCTTCACATAGCTGTAGTCCACATCACGGAAGTTGTATCCAGCCTATGGGTGACAATTAAGTTTGATGCAAAATTATTAAAGAGGCCCTGAAGAAAATGCCTCAATACAAAAAGGTCTTTCCAATAGTGGCTCATTTATCCTCACTAGGATGCATTTTAGTGTATCAGTGAATAGAACAGCTTCTTACCTTCCAAGTAGTGTTTGCTTTATTGATGAAATTGACCATCTCATGGGAGAGAGGAGCAAGTCGAGGACGAGCCCAACTAACTGAAAGGGCTGAGATCACACACAGGAAAGCCAGCCGCCACATTCTGAAACAAACTCCATTATTCTTTATTTATTTTATACAGAAAGGAGACTTTAGGAGTAATTCTAGCAGTCTAAAATCCCACTTTAAACACTTAATATAAACTGCAGCTAAAAATGCTGCATCTTAATCGGTTTCAAGAATCATTTCAACTAAAACTTTAAAGTTCTAAACATCACAGCCTTAAAACAACAGTCAGGTGGCACATCAAGAACACTTCTCAATCAGGCGAAAGATCCCGGACTACAGTAGGGTTATCTTCAGACTGTGGTCACGCAGACTTGAAAGCTTTGGACATCTTAAACATGGCCAAAACTCCTAATGGTTACACAACCAGTCAAACAAACCTTGATTAACTACTCTGGGTAAGTATATTTTAGGCTTTTTTTTTTTAAAGGGGCTCCTAACTCAGTGGTTTTACAGCAGATGTGGTTTTAAACAACTTTACTTCATTATTCCCCATTACTGACTCGCCACAATCTTGACAACTAGTGAATTTTCACAAAGCACCAATTTATCAATATCACTTTCAAACATGCTGGGTTGCACTTCCTCCAAGGCCTATAATTGGGGAAGTCTTGGCCTAATGGTTAGAGAGTCGGACTCAAGTCTGGTACCGGCAGAGATTGTAGGTGGGGGGAGTGACTGTACAGCACTCTGGCCCACCTTGCCCTTGAGCAAGGCACCGAACCCCCAACTGCTCCCCAGGCGCCGCAGCATAAATGGCTGCCCACTGCTCCGTGTGTGTGTGTGTGTGTGTGTGTGTGTGTTCACTGCTGTGTGTGTGCACTTAGGATGGGATAAAAGCAGAGCACTAATTCCGAGTATGGGTCACCATAATTGGCCACATGTCACTTCACTAATGACACCAATCAGAAGACGTGAATGAGTCAGCAATTGCAAGGAAAGCCTGCTAATATTTGAGAAAGCCAGCCTACTCTGACCTTAAACCTCGCAGTAATCTCGACGACTTGTTAAAAATACTGCTGTAAGTGGTATTAACACCGTCAGGAGTCAATTATATAGAGAGAATGCAAATATAAGATTGCTTGCGGCACTTAAAGTTCCCACTTTTCTGTAGTAGTGCGAGACGTAAAATATCTGAGGCAACTCATGTTTGAAAGCTAATAGTGGATTTGTAAGTAAACGAGCAGCATAATGTCACTTAAAGCAGCTGAAGCATTCACAGGTGTTAAAACATAAGCTCAGGTTTCTGTTTCCCCTGCAGGCCTTGTTTACATAGTCAAACGAACAATGAATCCAGATTTTAAAATCAAAGGAAGTCGCTGTAACACTGCAATATTATATTTCACAGCAAAGCAGTAAGTGTCTTTGAAATAAAGTCATGCTACTACAGAATAAAGCGTTTCGCATTGTAATTTGTGTATGATATATAAGACATGCTACTATATCTCCATGACCCTTTTCCAATATTTACCTAGAGGTTCAATTATCAACACACAAGAAATAATAATAATCTTTGTCCCCGTGATTTAAAAGCTCTCAAAGTCTCAGGTAGACAAAGTCCTACCTGTCTTTCGTCTGCTGGCAGTTGTTCTATTTGAACTGTGTGTCTCACTCCCCCAAGAGTTCCACTGGGCGAAAATAACCACCAGCTGAGGAGCACGCTGATGGCTTTATAGAGCAACGACGGATCACGTGATGAGTCATGTGCGCTTGGGGTCTCATGACTCTCACGTGATCAAATCTCTTTACTGGAGTAATCATATGGTACGGTACTTGTTTGTTAATTTAGTTTGGTATGTAAATAATATGATGAATAGTATGGAAGCCAAAGAAAATTATGCTCAGGTAAATCATAATGATGACATTAAGGATCGAATTTCAGTTATGACTTTTAGGTGACTTTTGTCATAATTTAACTAGTGCTGTCAAACGATTAATCATTTGACAGCACTAAACCTAGCCTTTTACCTTATAATTTCGACTTTTAACTTTGTTTAGATTTAGATTATTTGTCATAAAATATATATTTTTTATTGTTGTGTGATATTTTTCAATTTTGTTTTATATTTTAGTATATCAAGTAATAGATCCTAGCTTGCTACATAAGCAAGCTGTTTTATTTATTTAATCAATAATTGTTTACAGAACATATTGCATATTGCAAACCATAAAAAAAGCTAAGGGGTAAAATCCAAGAGTTCACACACTTAAAATAAATAATAATAATAATAATTATTATTATTATTATTATTATACATGGGGAAAATCCAATTAAATTAAAGAAAGAAAGAAAGAAAAAAATCCATGAAAACATCCCAAATGAGAACAAACAGTCCACGTTTTATTAGCTTTTTTTGGAGGTAGACACGTTTTTAAAATAGATTCTTAACTTTTTTGAAAGGGAGCTTGGGTTAATGAATACATTACGTGTGTTTTTTTATTTTTTATTAACAAGATCAAAATACATGTATATGACAAACACTATACATGATGCTTGCTACATAAGCAAGCTGTTTTATTTATTTAATCAATAATTGTTTACAGAACATATTGCATATTGCAAACCATAAAAAAAGCTAAGGGGTACAATCCAAGAGTTCACACACTTAAAATAAATAATAATAATAATAATAATAATTATTATTATTATTATACATGGGGAAAATCCAATTAAATTAAAGAAAGAAAGAAAGAAAGAAAGAAAAAAATCCATGAAAACATCCCAAATGAGAACAAACAGTCCACGTTTTATTAGCTTTTTTTGGAGGTAGACACGTTTTTAAAATAGATCCTTAACTTTTTAGAAAGGGAGCTTGGGTTAATGAATACATTACGTGTGTTTTTTTATTTACAATACAATACATTACATTACAATACATTACAATACATTACATTACATTACAATACAATACAATACATTACATTACATTACAATACATTACATTACATTACATTACATTACATTACAATACATTACATTACATTACAATACATTACAATACATTACATTACATTACAATACATTACATTACATTACATTACATTACATTACATTACAATACAATACATTACATTACATTACATTACAATACATTACAATACATTACATTACATTACAATACATTACATTACATTACATTACATTACAATACAATACATTACAATACACGTGTTTCATACAACATTGCTCGGTGCGTGACGTCACATTGACCGGTTCAGAAAGACATCGCGATCACACACAAAGCTCGCTCCTTCAATAGCAGAAGGGAAACCAAACACTTTGAAAAAATACGTTTTAGTGCAACGATGCAGAATCGAAAGGGAAGCGCGATCATATGGAGTCACGTCTGCCTCTACTCTTTTTCAGGAGTCATTGTTTTATTGGAGAAAGCGGCACGTAAGTTATTTCCCGATGAATCATTCCCTTCCAACCCGCTATCTGTGCTTACTGAACATACTTTGGCAGCATCGGCATGTGGATGTGGGTTTTGCCTGTTTGTTCATGTTGTATTATGAGTTCAGTTTTATTACTGCACGTTATTGCTGCTATGGTTTTATAGCATTTGAGCGCCTTTTTCATGAATGGAGAGCAGGGGGCGTGTTCTGTCGCACAGATGCTTTACATTAGACACACAGCCCGAGAAAAGAGGGAACGCTAACAAATGTTAAAAATAGCATTAGTAAATACTTGACAGATCGTTAAATCATTATACATGTTTGTGAAGGACTTATTAAAATTATAATAGTGTACTAGTTGTTAATTAAAAAGAAATGTAAAATACCACGATTTATCTATTTTTTTTAATTTTATATATATATATATATGTAAGTATTCGTTAAGTTCAGCTATAAGCAGCTCTACAGAAGACAATTCAGAACAGTCAGTTCAGTATTGTTGTTGAAAATGGACTCTGCTGTTTGACATATTTGTTGTTTACTATATGCATCAGTTGTACTGTGCTTTACTCACTACCTCTGGATGGGAAAGGAGCTGCTGGCCTGGCTGACTCTGGCTCTGTGTCTGCCTGTCACGCTTGTGCAGCTGCTCAGTCTGAAGTGGTACATCACTGATGCAGAACGATCCAAGCCCTCACTTCTCCTTGTGCATTGTCTGCATCTGGGCGTCTACCACAGGTCAAAAACATTCTATCACTTAGAACTGTTGTAATTCAGTTATAATGAATTCATGAGAACATGCTCAGGTCACATTTAACTCCAAAATCATGAAAATGTCACAGTGTAAAACATCTTAAAGGCCCTAGGTTTTATAAAAAAAAAAATATATATATATATATATAATAACAATGTACACTATCATTCAAGAGGTTTGGGGTCAGTAAGAATTTGTTTTGATAGAAATTATTATTTTTCAGCAAGGGCGCATTAAATTGATCAAAGGTGACGGTAAGGATATTTATATTGTTACATACATTTATTTTCCAAATAAATGCTGTTTTTAACCTACATCAAAAAATCCTGACAAAATATCCTAATTTCCACAAAAATATTTAGCAGCACAACTGTTTTCAACACTGATAATAATAAAAAATGTTTCTTGAGCACCAAATCAGCATGTTGCCATCACAGGAATAAGTTACATCTAAAACTATAAAATGGTTATTTTAAATTGTAATAATATTTCACAATTTTACTGTATTTTTGATCAAAAACATAAAAAAACATTCTTTCAAACTGTAGTGTAATTTCTCATTGTGGTTGAAATATGACCTGTGCATGTTCATATCAGGTTTCACCCAATGATATTATTTATCTTACAATAGGCTACTTGTTTCTGAGATGTTATATTTTTTATGTTTGCAGGTTATGGTGCTGCATGAAGTCTCAGGGTGGACAGGTTAAGTTTGGTGCATTACTAATGCAGCAGGCTGATGTGTCTGCTCTGTTACTGATCGAGGCCCTGACACTCAGCTTGCCTCAAAGTCTACTGCAGACCTACAGTTTATTCACACTTCACCCTGGCTTTCTGTCACCAGGTACACAACTACAGAACACACCTAGCGTCACATCAAAAGTTTTCTGTGGAAGTAGTAAATTAGTCAGTGACTATGATTGAATGAGTCACTGAGCAATAAAAAAAAAGATTTGTTGTGCTTTTGTAAATGTTATGGTAACACAAGACGTACTGTACGATGTAATTGTGAATTAATCATTCTTGCTGTCCCCAATACTTAAAGTTCACCCAAAAATGAAAATTTTCTGAACTTTTACTCACCCTCTGGCAGTTTTTGAAACAGATTTTGAGAAATTACAGCATTATATATGGTGTTCACCAATAGATCCTCTGCAGTGAATGGGTGCCGTCAGAATGAGAGTCCAAACAGCTGATAAAAACATCACAATAATTCACACAACACCAGTTGATCAAATGATGTCTTGTGAATTAATGTGTTCTGGCTCTTCTATCCATAATATTGCTTTCTCCAGTAAAAAAAAGTATGAACCAGGAGAGAAATTTGTGCAGATCAAATACCACTCACAAGCGATAACAGTCCTAAACAAATATTTTGGTGAATTCTGATGTGAGAGGAAAACGGGATTGAATGTTTTCACTGAAGGAAGCATTGTTATAGATTATGGACTGGTATATTGTCTAGAAGTGGCTGTTTAAAGTTAAAATGCCTAATGATGGATTTGTTTATTATAAACATGCAGCTTTTCACTTCACAAGATGTTAATTGATGGACTGGAGTCGTGTGGATTACTTGTGGATTACTATAATGTTTTTATCAGCAGTTTGGACTCTCATTCTGACGGTACCCATTCACTGCAGAGGACCTATTGGTGAGCAAGTGATGAAGAAACAAACTCATCTTCATCTTGGATGGTCCGAGAGTACATTTTCAGCCTTTTTAAAATATTTTTGGGTAAACTGTTCCTTGAATCAGTTTCCCTGGATCTCTTTAAACTTTTTTACAGTGGTCTTATGTGTCGGGCTGAGCCTGCTGAATGTATCCTGGTTTCTGGTCCTGCACAGCCGCTCATGCTTTCTGCTCCGTCCTGGTCACTTGCACATGACTCTCGCTGCAATGCTGTGCCAGCTCATATGGAGAGGGGGCATGCTGGGTGCCAGGGTGGCCAGCCTCATGTTCTTCTGCAGTATGTTTCACTGGTGGTCCTGTGGAGTCGTGGGTGAGTCAAGCTATGTGTTTTTGTGTAGACAAATCCTGCACACACAAAAGCTTTCACAGTTAGCTCACGTGACAGCCCTGAGTGCTTTTAAGTAATTTGTCATTGCCCAACTTTTACCTGGAAAGGGATGACTTGTTAATAAATGACTGCTTTGTGGTTGTCTCTTTAAATCCCTGCTCAGGTTTCCACTGGCTCATTATGACATTCTGGCAAGTGTCCCAGCAGACAGATATCTGCATTAACCGTGCTTCCTGGCGGCTCTTCAACTTCATCTTAGGGGCAATGCACATTTTCGTCTTCCTTAACGTTAAAGATGGGCCCTCTCGGTACCGCATGACTGGATTCTATTTGGTTGGTCTCACTGCACTGCAGTGTTTTTTCGTATTATTTATATACTTTTTTAGTATTTATTAATATTTTGTATTAGCTTTTGTTTGCGGTTTTCAAGTTTTAGTAATTTTATTATGTTTTTGTGATTTATATAATTTTTTAATTATTTAAAAATATATTTTAA